GGATGGGAGAGGAGTTGGGGTGCCGGAATTTGCAGCTTTGGCAATGGTAGGCGGTAACACTAGTGGCGCTGGAGCACGGGGTGGCAGAGCCGGGCAGATAGGGAAGGGAAGTGACAGCAGCCAGGGCGGAGGCGGGTTGGGGGTGGGGTGCATCTGGCTGGCACGTAGGTGCAGCTGTGTGCCTGTCGGCTGCCTTGGTGGTGGCCGCCTGGGGTGGTGGCAGGGTGGGGGTGGGGAGCAGGACTCGAGGCCGAGCTCAGCTGCCAGACGGATGCTTCCCCGGTCCAGAGGTGGGGATGGGGCACGCCTGCCACGGACTCCTCCTCCCCATCCAGTGTTCCCTCTGACGCTGCAGGGGTAGTAATGTAACAGGTAGCAAGCGTTCGAACATATCAAACTTGGCTCCTTTTTCTCTTTCTGGAGAAACAAAGAGAAAAGCTTGGCTTTAACCCAGAGCGGTGTAGTACGGCACGGCTGTGTGAGCGGTCCGTCTAAAGCCAAGGAGCTTTGAAAGTTGATTAGTAATGCCAGATGCGTGTTTTGTTGCCAGAAACGATCCAAATAAAACAGCAAGAGCTATTCAGGTTTAAAAATACAGAATACTTGTCATCGTAGAACTATTTTAATGAATTCTCTCGAGGGATTATGAAATACAGTGAATTGTTGCAGAAGCCTGAACTTCAGAAGGACACAGCCCTGCAGCGTCTCAGAGTCTTGGAGCGGGGAGGACATTGCCCACGTGGCATTTCTTTCCAGAGGAATCTTGAAGGTGCAGGTGGCCTGTGCAACACTACTGCTGTGGATGTGTTTGTTCATTACAAACCGGGGCTGGTAGGAGATCCTGGCTTTTGGGGTAGCTGGTCACCCTGAAACTTCCAGGTCTTGATCAGTGAGAAACTTCGGTGAAACCATTGACTCTGGATTCACCTGGGGCACTTTCCCTGGTGGCTTTTTGGCTCTTCCCACAATCCTTGAGCCTGAAGGTTTTCTGGGCTTGTGGGGGTAGGGCTTTGGAGCATTTTTGGAGACCAGACTTGTGTCCGATCCTTGCATCTGAGGGAATGCGTCTTCCAGTTATTTCGGTCCGTTCTCAGGGATCCTGACCTAATATGAGGAAGTACAACACAGGCTCCGGTTTCCCTAGATCTTGTAATTAAAAACAGGCAAGCCAAGGCGTGAGTGCCCAGGAAGGTCCAGGATTTAGCTAAGGTTTAATGGGGCAGGCGGCCTGGTGTCGTTAGGAAGAAAGGGTGATGGGAAAGAGAATAAAGCGGCCAGAAGTGGAATCCAAGTGTGGTTTCCCGGACGTTTCTGG